GCATTAGTGATGATCGTAGTCTCTTTTAAATATAAACCCATGAGCCCTGGCTGGGTAACTGAGATGATTAGAGCATCATCCAGATACACCAAGGTTGCAGGTTCGAGCCCAGGGCAGTGCACATACAAGGAACAACGAATGAATGCATAAATGGGTGGAATAATAAAATGATGTCTGTCTGTCTGTCTCCCTTTCTTACTCTCTCTCCCTAAAAAAAAGAAAAAGTGGGGAAAAAATAGCATGAAGATGAAGTACTCAGATTTGAATGAGAGCCACCACAATTGGAGGTGGTCCAAACAAGCCCACCTCCTCTCACCACCATTACTAAGAAATGGAGTAACCTACCTGACCAAAATCACGCACCATAACCCACTTTGTGCTACTCCCACCAGTTGGTCTAAAGAAAGACACAGGACAGAGAAAAGAGTCATTAAAGAGTCATTTGGGTCACCAGCCTTACAGAATTGATGAAAAGAGATTGTCCCCAGAAAGAGGCAGAAAGAGGCAGGGCACAGAGGGAAATCACTGGTAAGACAGGAAAGCCTGAGAATCTGACCTTTTGTCTGTTTCCCATCTTGATGTTTCTGCAAACAAGAGACCTTTTGGACAACTCACCACTGCAAGGCAAGAAGAGATTGTATACAGTGCCTGGGAAGAAGGTAGCCTAACCCTCTGCCTTCCCTTGGCTCTCTGCACCCCAGAAGATCGGTTCCATGGTGCCACAGGAGAAGCACATGTGGTGGAGAAGATGAAGAACCTGTGAGAAGGCTTCCAGAAACACACAGACCTGCCCCAGCCACCGTGTGGCCTGGAAATACTCCCTACCACTGAGATGCTATGTTTAATAAATAGAAGGGGTACCCTAGATTTCTTAAATAATAAATAAATGATGAAACTATCAAATCACTTTCTGGTACAACTTTTATAGGATATATATTTCAAGATGTACTTTAATTTTGTGTATATTTCATATCTTTCCTCCTACTTGAACATTTTCTTGAGACTAAAGATCAGGTTCTAACCTACTACTGTATCTCTGATGAGCATCTTAAATTAGTGCTTTGGTCAGAGATATTAAAGTTTTCTGGAAGAGTGAATAGATGAATAAAAAGTATTATATCAAAGAGCCAATACTGTCTGAATCAACATCTACTCAACACTAACATCACATTCCAAACTCAGACCTTGAAACTGCAAACACTACTTTTGATTTTATCTGCTAATCTTAGTGTGACAGCTCAGATGAAAGATTACTGTCCCCAACTGGGAATAATGCCCCCCTGAAATCTCCTTTTGTCCATATCTCCAATAAGATACTGCCCTCTCACCATCCTTGCAATGTCGACTTCTCAAAAAGAGTTGTCTACACTTAGATGAAATGGGGACATTTGCTGTGCTGTGAGAAATAAAAAAAGACAAAACAATCCAGAGCAAAAGTAAATTGGAGTGGGTATAGGGGATGAGCATATGTTAGGTTTGAGATACCTGTGAGACACCCAGGCGGAAATGCTGATGGGCTGTTATGTGGTCAGGTTAGTTTCCACTTCTCCACTGTTTATTCCTGATACATCCACAAACATAGGCCTATCCTATGCTAGCCCTATTTCAGACATAATAGACATCAAGTAATTGTTTGTTGAGTCAGATAAATTAATTTAATGTGTCTTATTATGCCTTCTTCTAATATCTCTTTGTTTTCTTTCTTTGCTTGTTATTTTCTGCTTTCCTTCTTCCTTTCCTTTTTTTTCCTCTTCTTCCTTCAACAAATATTTAGTCGAATGCCTATTAAATGCCAGATACCATGCTGAGGCTAAAAAATATTGTATTTAGCTAAATAAACAGGTAACTTTCCTCTCCTCTTGGAATGCATGATACAGGGTAGAGACAGGCCCTAATTAAATAAGCCCATTAATAAAACTAATAACAAACAATGCTGATAAGTGCTGTGGAGCAAAAGCCCATTGCATGTTATATCGAGGGGGACTGATGTAATCCAGCCTGGGTTGGGGTTAAAGGGAGGGCTCCCCATGACATGGCCTTGGAGTTGAAAGAACATTGACAGGAACCTGGGACACAAGGACGAGAGCCAGGATGGTCCTGGGCAGAGGAACAGAGGCCGGAGGGAGGTTCAGAGGAACAAAAGGTGGGTGTGGGTGAAGAACAGAGGACAAGGGAAGAGTCCTGTGAAAAGAAAGGTGGTCACTGTCCATGTTTGTTTGTTTAGCTTTTTCTCTTTTGGTTTTTCTATTCTTGTGTGTTCTTTTGTCTGTTAGTTGATTTCATTTCTATTCTGAAATAGCCCAAATATTGAATATCCAATATAAGATTAGTGCATTTACTTGCCTTCCCGACATTTAGATGTGTGCCCTAAGTGAAGACTGGGGAAACGTTGGAACTTGGAAAAGAGTTCATGTGGATTTATATTCTTAAAGGCTGAAATGACATTTAAAATACTTAAAAAGTTATATTTTAAAGAGAAACAATTTAAGAGTCCCCAGTACATACTGAGGATATATGGTGAATTAGTGAGAAAAATGTTTAAATCTGTTTATGTTTCACTCTCTTTAGATTTACCACCCACTTGTACATCATTAGTGACCACAGAGCTTTTGATGATTACCGTATTTTGCTATATATAATGCACACATTTTTGCCCAAAATTTTGAGGGAAAAATAAGGATGCACATTATATGTGGGTAACCAATTCTGTATCTATATATATGTTTTTAATTATTTTATTTATACTTACAAATTCAAAGTATAACTCTAGAAAGCAATCACAACATCCATATGCAAAATAATACCCTGGAATTTAATAATCGGTTTTGTTTCTAAATATAAATAAATAAAACCTTGAATTAATAAATTTGTAAAAAAGATTTTTTTCTTGAAAGTTTGGGCCAAAAACATGGGTGTACATTATACATGGCAAAACATAGTATGCAGGTTTTATTTGCTTTGATTTATTACATATGTTGATCGATGTATACCAATAATGAATTGTTGAATAAATATACAAACTGTAAGAAACACATGTTCAAGTATAGAACATTAGTGAGGGCCATAAAAATAATGAAATTTCTACACCGTTATCCCAATATATTATTCAAGAGACCTGTACAATGAATTTATCTAATCAAATTGTTTACACCAAGTTATCTCTGGTAATTCAGAAGTAGGATTAAAAAGAGTAAATATAGTGATTAATATATCAAAATTGACTTTACATTTATTATAAATAAAATGATATATATGCACAATACATAATTTGTGGATAGATGCTTACAAATACAACTCATATATATATAAATTTCTTTAAAAATTTTAGAAAATGTTTTACAGTCTTAAAAAATTTTTAAATTCTTACAAATTTCTATAATTGAAATTTTTTAATGCATGAAAATAAATCAATTGATCAATTAAAGTTTACAACAGACATTTCAAAGATGTTATGAGAACTCAGTATCTATTTGGAATTCTGGAAACTGTCGATTATATTTCAGTCTCCTTTTTAGTATGTGTTGAGTCACTAAATTCTAAGTAATATGTTTGTTTACAAATCATTCTTTTTCTCTCACATTCAAATTAAATTAAATAGCATGGGTCACTTGAGAAATGCAGAAATTTTGAAATTTACCTCTATCTTATGGATATTAGATATTATATTAAACTTTATAAATATAATTTTAATAGTGTGATATATAATATTTTTACCTAAAATAGTTTCTTTATAAATCATTTCATAAAAATGGTGATGTGATTATAAAAATTTATAAAGGAGGTCTGTGAGATTCTATATGACAGTGAAGGAATTCACTAATCAAAAAAGTTAGCGAACTGTTCTAATCTGCTTTAACTATTTTCCAGAAAGTTCGAATGCCAAGAGTAGATATATCATTGAAGGAACATGCACACTTGCTGAGCACATAACACTATCCAAAACCTACCACAATTTGTTTATTCTTTTCTAATACTTTTAGAAAGTTAAAGCTTTAATACACACCTGCAAGTGCACCCACACTGAGACAGCTGGTGAAAATGACACTTATAGATCTCGCCAATCAATGGCGTGTACACCTCAGTAAGTAAAAATAGACTCTGAGGTTGTTTTAAGGGAAAAGGCATCCAGGAAATCTTTAAAAAACTTAAAACGATAACCATAGAATTGATTTATGCTCCCAGTATTCAAGCAGGCAAGGTCAAGGTCAGTCTTGATTGGCCTGTAGAATTTTATGTATTTCAAAATGTGTATAATTTTAATTAAGTCTTAAGTCACTTTAGATGAAAGTATGCAAAGAAAATTATTTTCCTACTACAGAATCGCAGGGCTTTAGCTTGGCTCCCTGAGGTCTGTACAAATCACTTAATCCCTTTTCCTCAGCTTCCGGTTGGGAATTACATCCCCACCATATAGAGTTGGGATAATCAAATACTCTAACATCTATAACAAGCTTTGAAGTTTGGTAATACAAGTGTACTGGCTGGGGAGCAGTGCTATTGTTTTCATTGTGATTCATTACTTTTCTGACCCAGGCTTTTTGTGGATGTGGGCCCACACCAAAGCATTCATGGTGTGTGTGTTTCAAACTGCCACACTGGTGGCTGCCTGTGTTTACACACAGAGTAATCATCTGCTTACTCTTTGGTGAATTACTATGAACTATTATTATGGGATATTTCCCATTATTTTAACTTACCTCAGAATCACCAGGATTATTTCATTAATAGAGGTCAGAAGTGTTCATAATGTGCACACCATACATTGGAAAATAACACATTTCACAGATATAATTTGACAAAAAATAGTGGGCTTTTATAGTCTGCCAACGACTACATCATCAACCAGGGCTAGTATTTAAAATAAGCATATACGTTGAGGTCACATATTGCCAAATCTATGTGACTTCCTGAAATCCCAATAAAAATGAAACGGGACAACTGTTTTACTGACAATCATTAGAAAAAGAACCTTAGTAAAGTAAGACACATTTCTCTTCATTCTTTGTTGATTTTCTTTTTAGAGCAATATGAAGGCTTATGTTCCAAACTGGAACCAAGAAACACCTCTCCTTTATCAATGAAATTTAGACCGTTTGCCAGACCTCTCTTTGATAGGACTCACACAGTGTCTTCAACTGCAAAACAAGATGTAAATTTTGTTCAATGAGTTTGTCACACAAATACAGATTCATTTGAAATATTAATCTACTTAAAATAATACTACTTTTTAATTCCTATATTACATTCACCCTGAAAGTTTTAAACTGACAGTAATTAAAATTGTTTTAGTTAAATGTGACACTTGTTTATGAGAAATGACAATATATTGAATGCATTCTACATAGAAAAAATGAATTCAATCACATCATTAGCAAACTATTTTGTAGTTTTGGCTTTGTTTATATCAAGTGCTCATTACTTGCTAAATGCTGAAAACATGAATAAGTGAATAAATGAATGCAAATGAATGAGTGAATGAGTTGTATGGCTTAAACAGAAAAAAATCTATTTTCTCACAGTCTGGAGGCTGGAGATCTAAGATCAGGGTGCCAGTGTGGCTGGTTTCTAGTGAGGCTCTGTTCTGAGTCTCTCTTATCAGAGCTGACATAAACAAATGTACGTATAGAGACTGAGAAAATTATGTTTACAAAAGATTGTGCAAAACAGCATATCTTTGCAACCAAGAGGAGCATGAACGCAGAAGCCTTGAACAGACAGCTGAGAGGGCTGAGAGGGAGAGAGTGACACGCAGCAACGCGCGACCGCTCTGATCCACCCCACTCTAGTGACTCCCAAGCCCTGCAGACTCTGCCTTGAAAGGCGCTGACTGGCTGTCTCCTGGGCCCGGCCTCTGATATGGATCCTTAGAACTTGAGTTCTGAGTGATTATTATTGTTACTGGGTTATTATAGCTTTGGACTGAATCTACATTAATAAAAGCTGAGTGAATAGCATAGTCACCTGTGTTGACTCACTGTTATTTCTTGGTGCCGGCATCACCTGTAAGGCCGATAGCTGTGTAGGTGGCCTGGAGCTTTCCACTCATAAGGCTAGGGCAGGCGACCCTGAGAGGGGGTTGAGGGCTGACTTGAAGGAAAAGGCACCTATTATCACAAAACATTCGCAACAACAGACATAGTGCTTTAAAAATATGTATACAGTGTATTTTGGGCAAATACCAAATTACTAATGGGTCATCAACAATTCTTCCCAGAGAAGTTAAAACATAAAGCAACATTTAAAAAATGAGTCAGCATATCTTAAGTACGGAAGGGCAAGAACATTGTAACAAAAAAAGAGTGTGTGCTAAAACACAGAAACGTAAAAGAAAAAGGGATTGTTCAAGGCATTGCACATAGCATTATAGTCCTAGAAGGTAAGGAAAACCCACATCATAAAGATCTTGATAGTGTTTATAAGGATCTCAGAGTTATCTCACAGCTGACCAAGAGTCCTAGAAACGTGAACTTGTTACAGAGGAGGAGGGATATGGTCAAGTGTGTGATCATGTGAAAGACAGGACTGTCAAAATGGAGTGACAGAGGGACTATTTAGTCATCAAGGGTAACAAGGAAGACTATATATTTAAAATAATTATGTGATAAAATTGACAATATTTAATAATTGAATGTGAAGATAAAGAAGAATGAATATTTGAAAGCATCATCAAGGTTTTAAGTTGGAATGACTGATGGATGGTGTTGCATCTAATGAAGGAAAAGCTCTTGAGTTAAATTGAGATAATAGTGTTCATTTTCCAAGCGTTTAACTTGGGATGACTTTGAAAATTTGTCTAGAGCTGTTTCAGTCAGGGTCCCAACACAAAATATATGGTGTACTAAAAAAAAAGTGTTTGAGTAGACTTAATGAAGAAACTATTTACAGAGTTATGAGTAGCAGTAGAAGAAATCAGTAAGAAATGATAAAGCACCCCAAGTGTAGCAGTCAGAAGTAAGTCCCCTCCACTCCCAGGCTTGAAGGGACAAATGAAGGGAGCAGTTACCAACCCAAAGAGGCTTTTAGGTATAGCTGTAGGCAAAAGCTGTGGCCATCAGTATGGGAACACAACCATTAACAATACACCGGCCAAGAGAAAGGGCACTAAGAGATAAATATGCTTTCCTCTATGCTCTCCCACAATTCCTTGCTGGTGGTTTTCACTGACCAAACACAAATAAAAGGAGAGGGCAGGAGAGACTATTCATGTGTCCACAAAGGTGGGCTTCCTGGGACCCATAATAGGGTAGGGAAGGGGGAAGGGGGACCTGGAGATTCAGAGATCTGGAGAATATCCTCTACAGAGAATAATCTAGAATATTCTAGGTCAAAGGGAGATCTATAAAGTTTGGGGATATATCACCATCTAGTTTGCAACTGAAATAATGCAATAGAGATGAGGCCCATTCACAGATTGGAAAATTTAATTCACAATAATTAATTCATCGAGTTTTAAAGTAATAATGATTTGTAATATGTAACATAATAATTATAATACATAATTATAAATTATAAATATAATTCATAGTTATTTGCCTAGAGACTATCAGGTAATAAAGACTCTGATCTTCTGGATCTTAGTCCTTTCTCTTTCTCTTTTTACATTAATGAACTTAAAATCATAGCAGGCATTGACCATCAAACTCACTGATGCAATTTTTATATTATGCATTAGAATATTTTTCCCCCCTACCCCAGTCTTCATGGGTTAGATTAAGATTAGCCTAGGTCTTAGCCTCAGGGATGAGCTCTTGTCCCAGGCTTAGCCAATTAGAATAGTCTAGTCCTCTGAACTTGTGTAGGTGATTCATTCAGGAATTTTATGTCCCATGCTATCCCAACCAGAATAAATGGCTAAAAATGTTGTCAAAAAGTCTTTCACCTGAAATTGCTAAGGTTTAAAGACATGAGCCCAGAGTTGCTGAAGGCCCTTTTTGCCACTACTGGAAAAAAATCTAAGATTAAAACCAAAACACACATCAAAAAAAAAGAATGTGGAGGGAAGAAAGTTTCTACAGCCTGTAATAGTGAAACCAACTGAAACTCCAGACTTCATAGTACAGACATGTCTTCCTTCTCATCCCAGTTTCAGTTTGAGTTTCTTACCGTCACTTGCAACCGAAGGAATGCAGGCTAATATACAGGGTCTGGCAGAAGTAAGGCCTGCTTGAATGTGGGGTAGTAATATGGGTGTAATAATTCATAGTTTTAATTTGAACATTTCATCTAAAATGCCACAAGGTGTGCTTGAGTGCAATATTGTTATGTTACATAATCACATGCTTATGATTTTGTAATAAAAGATTTTTGTAATAAAAAAGGGACGTTATTTGTGTCAAACCCTCTTTATGAGCATATATATGTTGACTTCCATTAATATATATAATTGGTTTCAAAATTGTATTTGCATCTAACTGTTGAAGGTCTTCTGTCAATTCAAGGTTATATAAGTTGCTATTTTTTAAGAGATCATCACTAACTCATGAGCCCTTTAATTATGACTCGCAAGGTGAAATTCATGTCATCTCTGGACTAAATGAGCTATCCCAAACCTCCAGGCCTTTTCACTCAGGCAGATTTCACAATAAAAAAGAAAACAAAGAAATATTTGGATAAATCTATTTGTCTAATTTTCACATTTTTGTCTTGTTCTGGCAAGGCATAACTTAGAACCTCAAAGTACAAATACCATAAAGCAAAATTGTGGTGATGAAAATTCTATATTATTAAATATTACTTCTGGAATATTTAAAAATTCAAACAAACTAATAGCTCTCAGTTTTCCATTTGCTTTTATGTTTTCAAAATGCAAATGGGACTGAATTATTGATAGATTATATTGTATAATTTATTAATTTATATACACAAATAATTCATGATATTCGAAATTGAAATATAATGCCCGATATAGCAGTTCTCAGGACAGCAGATTTACTCGAAGTTATAGAAATGTCCTTTCAATTTGCAGTGCAAGGTTATTTCAACATTATAAAAATACAATTTTGTTGAATGTGGGTAGAATTCTTTTAACATATGTATAAGATGAGTTCAAGATTTGGGGCAGAGAAGAGTTAAACAAGTGTTTCTTCAAAGATGTTTTCTTCTGCACCTAATAGTGACAACATTAAACCTGCCCTCTGTAAATTGTGTGGTCTGGTCCCAACCAGAAGGGGCCCTGCGCTATGTGGCAGCCATGACCTTCTCCTCTTCACGCTGATTTTCTGGTGTGAGTGCACATGCTCTGAGGCATGTAAACTGCTTTACTTTCCTTATTAAGACGTTGACACAAGTATCCCCACAGTAGCGAAAACTTCAAAACGGAAACAAACCACCCTTGGGGCTTTATGTTCTTGTCATGTAGGGTTTCTTCTTTTCTCTCTCCTGTTCCTTTTTCTTTTCTTTTTACTCTGATGAAGTCTCTAACAGCAGGGTATGTACAGACCCTGAAATCGCTAGAAAACCGAATATTTCCACAGCACTGAGAGTCATTTAGTACTAAGACAGAAATTTAAGTCCTTCTGTTCTTTTGAAAGGAGGAGTTTTTTTAAAAAAAATCCATATGAAATAGAAATAATTTCTGGGTGACAGGAGAGCCCCATGTTCCTGCTCTCTTATCATTTTCAGGGCATTGGGTGATAAAAGAAAGGGAAAAGAAAGGGAAAATTGCCTCATCAGAATTTTATCAGCTGAATGGATAAACTAGAGAAAAGGAAAATGGTCAGTGTTTTACTGATTTAAAGTGACTTTTCAAAAGAAGGGATTTCAGAATCAGTGACACTGAGTACCTGTTGATAGATCCATTGTTGATTGCTACTGGAACTTTTTGTCTTCTGTACTGTTCTCTGTTTTTTTTCTGTGGCATAGCTGCATAATATAGATATACATGAATTTATATACACACATAGTTGGGTCTTTTTTAAAAAATTACTTTCTAAATTCGAATTACTGATGTTTCATTGTTCTGGCAAATCACATTCAAAAGAAATGTAGGGGTTTCCAATTCAAAAAAAAGCAATGAAAATTTCAATAAATATATTTTTTAATTCGAAACATAAAAAGGAATATGCTATACCCTTTATGCATTTATTCTCTTTATTCTCAAAAAGTTCTTTGATATTTCTCAGGGAATTAAAGGCAGATTGTTGGTCTACTTGAGCATAGCTGAAAGGGCAGGTTGCAAACAGATTCATAAACAGTAGAAGAGCCCAGCAGGCTGGTGTAGAGGAGGGAGTGGGGTGAGAAATAGGCAGGGAGCAGAGGACAGGGAGCCCAGGAAGGTGAGTCATAAATAGTAGGGAAAGAAGGGTAGGCTCTGATAATTCTACCCATCTTGATTCATTCTTCCCCCTGCCTTCTAACTCCTGCATTACTCAATTACTGTTTTTAGGCATGTTTAAAGTACTTTAATACAACAATTCAAATTCTAAAAATGAACTTATGCAGAAGAAGGATTGCTTCCCTTGGTTTTTCAGCTGGAGCATCTAACATCCTGAACGTTGCTAAATGGATGACATTATCGATGCCCTAGAGTAGAGAAGAACGCTTCCCAGAGCCCGGATCTGTGGGCCCCTGCATGATATCCTACCACTCCACTGCTGATGCTTTTGTTTTGTCTAAAAACGCAAAGTTCAATGCTTCAAGGGTCATCTGTGTTGTCAAATGTGTCAGTATTCTGTTTCTTCTAATGACTGAATAATATGCCATTGTATGGATATACCACATTCTGGCACTCCATTCATTTGTTGATGGACATTTGGATTGTTTTTACCATTTAGCTCTTGAAAATAGTGCTATGAACATTCACGTGCAAGTTTCCATAGAATCAGAAATGAGATTAGTGGTTGCCAGAGAATGAGGGAAGGGAGAGTGGGGAGTGACTGTGTAATGCATTCGAGGTCTCTTTTGGCAGTGATGAAAAATCTCTGAGACTAACACTGAAATTGCACAACTTTGTTACTCTACTTAATTCCATTGAATCATATACTTAAAATGGTCAAAATAGTCAACACTATATTATGGGCATTTCACACTAAAAATGAAGGAGTAGCTCACCTTTTCACCTCTCTTGTCAGAATACCCAACTCCCTTCTTGCTCCCACCACCTCTCACTTGCCCAGGCGACTTCCTCTTCCCCGCCTTTAGTAAACTAAATCTCTGGCTCTGGGCACTGCTGGGGCAGCATGTCCTGCATTGCAGCCTCACATGCTCTCCTTCCTCCTTGCTTTGGGAAGAGGAAGCTATCCACATGCTGTGTGCTGCCAGAGCCACCGATCTTCACCAGGATGAGCAGTGAGGCAGTCTGACCAGTGGCAAGATGCCAAGGATGAGTGAATTCTTACCTGTTACTAGCAGAAGTGGGAGTAGGAGATCCAGCTTTCCTCAATTACTGGGAATTCGTGGTACATCAGAGCTGTAAACCAGCCGCAGAACTCCTCCCCGCCTTCCCCACACCTCAAGTGTTCTTTCTTGAGAATAGGGACAGTAAAACTACTCTGCTGGCTCACTGTTTCTCAGTGTTTGTCTCTGTCTGCTGATTGGGTAAGACTTACTTTGTTTCTGAAGGGATTTTCTGTGTTTTTATAACCACAGTGGGTAAGATTTTTCACTGTGCCTGATTATTAGAACAATACTCGTGGTAAGAATTACAGAAGGATGTTTAGACACTTAACATTAATAAATAGATGATTGGCAGTTACCTGCTACACACATATTGATAAAATCTCCCAGATGGGTTTGCAAGACAGAAATGGGTTCTAAAGCACAAATCAGAGATCCCAGAATTAGGTATTCGTGTGTTTGCGAAGAGGCAGGAAGGAGACTGACTAATCACTGCCTTATGAGCTCCTAGACTACCTGGGTTGGCCTTGTTGATAGAGAATTTGGTTTTTAGAAATTACAATAAAGTATAGTGAAATTTTAAATTTCGTGAAGAGCAATTGTAGACGGTCAGAATCCTCAGACCAGATTTACTTTCATTTATCTTGAGGGAAAACCGAAGAACACCCGATACAGACTTGTTTGGCTAGCGGCCTTCATTTTTAGAGTAGCAGTTTCAGTTGGCCACCTACGCTATGACAAAATTCAGTGGCTGGTATCCTTTTTCTTTTGTCTCCATTCCCTCTTGAAATGATTTCTTTTGTCCTCAATACAAGACACCCAAAACATATTTCTGACTCAGTGTTGACTTACAGATATTTTCGGACAAGCTTGTTTTGAATCTCAGGAAGCTCCTTAGAAACTTACCTAGAAACTGAGTGACTCACTATTTTGTTCTCAGCATCTTTTTCAGCTAGAATTTTTTTAAATAACAGCTTTATTGTGTTATAATCCATATACTGTATAATTCAGCCATTTAAAATGTACACTTTAAAGCTCTTTGGTATAGTCACAGAGTTGCACAAACATCATCACAATAATTCTAGAAAATTTTAATCACCTCCAAAAGAAACCCCATGCGGGGTTCCCCACTCTCCCCTCCCCTGGCTCCTGGCAACCACTGATCTGCTTTGTGTCTCTATGGCTTCGCCTGTTCCGGATACTTCATATAAATGCAATCATGCAATACGTGGTCTTCTTCTTATTATTTCACTTAGCATAATGTTTTCAAGGTTTTACTATATTGCAGCAGGTAGTAGTACTTCATTTCTTTTTATAGGCAGTTAATGGTGCACTGTATGAATATTTTATTTATCCATGCATACATTGGTGGTCAATTGGATTGCTTCCACCTCTGGCTATTATACAAATGCTTCTCTGAACATTTGTGTACAAGTTTTTGTTTGGACACATGTTTTGATTTCTCTTGGGCTCACATATAAATTTTATTTTACTTTAATTTTATTGTATTTTTTCCATTACCATTTATCTCCCTTATACCCTCCTCCACCTCCACCCAACCCACCCCCCCTCCCCACAATCACCACACTGTTAGACTAACACTTGACTCTGTATGACCTGGGTAGATTGACTCGGAGTGTGGGAGTAAGTGCCCGAGAAGAGTGAGAAGAGCGGATCAAAGGACCTCATCAAAGAGAGGGTGGACGAGACTTAGTGCGCTGATTTCCCGATTTCCGAATCCCTCTGAAATAATACCATCTAATATCATAATACCTTAGCTCATAAATTTACATGCGGGATACTGAGGACCCTATAAAGTTAAATAACTTGCTCAACCATTTGTTGCAGACCAAGCAGGACCTAGGGCCTATGGCTTATCATTCCTAGAACACTGCTTTTTGTACCACCAGCGTTGTGTCAGCACCCTCTGTGATCCTGGTGGTGTCTAATTAGACAAGTGTTCCAAGGATCCTATTGGGGGAAAAGTTTAGAATTGGGTGGTATTGTCTTTATTTCACCAGGAAGAGGAATAACAATTTCTCAGTTAACCAAAGATAACAATTATGGAAGGTTTATTATGTACCATACACCAAACAATATGCTTTGCTTGAGCTACCATATTTAATTTCAAAAATAACCCCCATTTTGAAAATGAGGGGACCAAGGCTTAAAAATAAGAATTTCTCCAATTTACTATATGATCAAAAAGAAAGTCAAAGCCAGGTGCATCTCACTCTACACATCTTGGTTCTTAACTGTTCTGCTATGTTGATAGAACTAAGTAAAGTATTCTCTGCCAGCCCTGCTTGTCCTCCCACTGCCAACTGCTGTTTCCATAGGTGATGAGTTTTAAGGAACCTACAAATGGAACATTTGCAAACCAGGAATGTCTTGCTTATACAGTTGTGTTTAAGCAAAAATATGAAATCATTCCATTTCTAAATAAAACCACATATCCTTCTTCAAAATTATCAACAGAAGTGGACTGCTCTTCATTTAAAGCCAGCTAGGCAAGTGTTTTTTAGACTCAAGTGCAAACTACAATCAATTGTTAGTGTCTCTTGGAATATTGTGCTGAGAAGGATTCTGATGTCTTGACCAAGTTCAGAAGAAGATTGTGGCCATCTGTTTATGAAGTTCCATTGTTATAGGAATGGGCACACAAAACATATGTTTGCTTTTCCTGGGTGTTTAAAAAATTCTCACATCGAATAAAGGACAGTAGAATGTGCTTTTGTGTGTTTCTTCTAACTGTCAGGTTTTCCATAGGTATGACCACTTACATTTTTACCTTAAAAAGTAAGGTTCTATTGGTGTTTCATTTGGGGCATGTTGTAATTACATAAAAAGAGCAAGAAATCAAAGGTTAGAAATAAATAGTATATTAGATAATGCCTTTAATGGAATATTTTAATAACTTCTATGGTGATAAGTATAACAGCAACCAACTAAGTGAAAAATCTGCTTGGTCTTAACTTGGTTGTCAAAGGAAGTTTATGAACTAGTACAGTGATCATATTTTCCAAACCTAGATTGGAACACTCAATCCCAAATTCATTTTTAAGTGAATAACTAAATATATTGGTATAAAGAGATTCTATAAAGATATTAACATTAAATAGCACTCAAGGATGTTTTAAATAAATCACCTTTATATTAAAAGTGATATTAAAAAGTTATATAAATCTATTTGGGAAAGGTCCTGGAAAATGCAGGACTGTTGATTTAAATAGCAGGAAAGGAGTTTTGGGGTGGCTGCTTTCTGATTTCCCCAAAGCAAAGCATAAGGATGCCTTGCCAGTCACATCACCTCCCTGAAATCACTCACCTCCTTTAGCTTCTGGCTGAAATCCATACATAGAAGATAACATTCTCAATAGCTATGAAAAACGTTTCTTTCTAGAATGAGCTAACATTCTAAAGAACAGTCAGTTTCTAGAGGTACAATGACACCCTTCCTGTATGAGCTGTAATTTTAGGATTACTCACATCAAGAATCTACATTCTTACTCTTTCTACTCCCTAATTCTCCCATTTTAACCTTCTATGTATTCTCCAGGGTTGGCTTAGTTTTAGCTTTAGTTTTAGTTCTCTGTTTCTCTGGTGACTGGGCAATCTGTTATTTTCATGAGAGGTCTAGGAATTCTTTAGTAGAGTATGAATTCCTCCAAATTCCAGGTCTATTGTCCTTGCTTATGACCTTTAGCCCCAGTTTTAAGTCTTTTTCCGTAGCTCCAGGACACTCTGCCAAACCCAGCGCTACAAAGTCTTTCTAACTTTGGCATTGCTTGTCAGGCTGACCCTGGATAACTGTTATTTTTTCTTTTTCCTACAATTAATATAAAAATGGGTGCCAGTTTATTAACCAACTTGAACTTCAAGGTAAACCAACTACATTTACTTTACTGCCCATCAATAATCCTTTCATTTTATCATATTTTCTTGCCTCTTTCTACCCTATTAGATATTTGTGCTTAAAGGTTAAATCAAGCTTCTCCACTCCTCGACTTCTTTCTTTTTATTCTTTGATCTTACATTGAAATCATAATGCTGTATTTGTGACGTCACTCTCAATTGTTTCCAGATGGTTTCTCATGATCAAAAAGAAGGTGAAGCCAATATATGTTAGTAAAAAAGTAGATCTTCAAACAGGGAGATGGTTGAGGAAAAAAGTATATAATAATAATGTTGAAAATACAAAACAACTATAGGTAAATTGCCTTTTTTCTCCATCTTAAAATAAAGTCTTTGATCAATTGTGCCAATGTATGAAAATTTGAACTCTAAAGAGGCTAGGCAGCTTTCTAAACCCAAACATCAAAAGACTTGCTTCCATTAGAAAAAATTAAACCCATGATAATTTGAATGGATTTGAAATTCTCTAAAATGAGCTCTAATAATAACCTTTACAAATAGAAAAGAAAAAAAAACAGTAGGTTATGTGGCTTCGTGCTACCATTTTCTCTGGTACATTAGTTTTCCAAAGATGCCATTTTGGCTTGTACCAAATAAAAGGGCAAAGGTTACCAAATGCAAGCCTGGGGAAGCCAGAAGAGAGAACAGCTATTACAATGGAGGGGGAAATCCAAGCTGTCAGCTCTGAATGGACAGAAATAGCATGTGTGAAATTGGCAACCAGCAACAGCATGGCACCTTAAGAAGGGCCAGGAAATGAATTCAGCCGCGTTCCTATTTTACTGTATTAGAGCTGCAGTTCTGATAGAGATTTAAGGTTCAGAGAGAGAACTGTGTGGGCCTTTGGTTACCCAATAATGTTAGTAATATCCACTTATTCAGAGAGCAGTTTAAACAAATAAAATATCAGAATAAAAATGCTAAAAAAAAAGATACAGAGAAAAACATAAAGAATAAAAATTACCCATCATCCTTCCCAAGAGGCTCTGTTAAGAATTCGGTACATTTGCTTCCTCTTACATGCATTGTTCTACAAAGTTGTAAGCAATTTGTGTATATAATTTTGATTTCTGCCCTTTTATTTACTATTATATCATAAATATTTTCCCATGTCATGAAAATGTCTTCATAACCATTGTTATTATTCATAGAACATTCTGCTCTATGAATAGATGGACTTTAATGTACTTAAACATAATTCAG